ACCACAGCTTTAATTTGTCGGACATACATCTACCACAACCTTCAGGGCTCCCCAGATGATAGCGGTGGGCATCGGATCCGCGGAAGCTAAGTGTATGCGTGAGCTGGGTGCAAGAGAACCACCGAATGGCATACCGAGGTTGCTTATTATATCATTGTAGTCCCGTAGAACGTCGACGACCGGACTCAGCACTTTCTTCATCATCCTCTTCCCAGGCTGCTCGCCATTTTTCTGTTCAGCCCGTTTGATAGAGTCATTTATGGATTCGGGCGTGATTGGGGCTCCAGTGGCACAGCAGGCCACGATGAATTTGCGCTTCTTCTTCTTTTCGGGAAGGCTCGCGATATAGGCGTCAAGGGCGCGTTGAAAGGTCGAATGAGGGCCCTCCGAGTTCGCCAATTGTCTGAAATCATATGGATAGTGCAAACAGAACGACTGGGGCACTCACGATCGTGTTGGATCCGACTCAGTCATTGGCCCCACTTGCTTGACACCGTTCTCCTACGAGTGGTCGCTGTTCAAAATGAACCAAACCAGCGCCTATATGCTACAGGTAGTTGGTCCCGTTTGGGTATGATTTCCGGATTTCCGTATAGAAGCCAGGATATAACTGGATTTTTTTTGGCTGGTCGTAGTGAGGGAGAGAAGGCGCTCAGGCGAAGTTTGAAGGCTTTTCGAGGGCGGTGTCATAATAACTGTGCAAAAGAGAAAAATTGTAAAGTGGAAGCAAAGGGACTAAGGCACGCTGCGCCCGTCTTGATCGCCTTGATCGTGGATCTGATTGACGCTCATATCGCGCGCCCATCCCCCGCGAATAGAGGCGTGATGTTTTCACGATTCCACGGAGCACAGCAACCTCCGAACTCTGTCCAGAATACACCATGAGCCAATCGCAGCCTGTGCCGACCGAAAATGAGCCCAAACCGGCGGTTGCACACGCACGAATCCTGCGCTACGACGAATAGTAAGTCTCGTACTCCCGTGTTATACAGCAAAGCTTAACCAGGAACGCGGCAGCTTTGATTTGTGCGTCAACCGACCAAAATGTGCCGATGAACTGACTGTCGCCGTAGGAGAACCTTCGCAAAGACTTTACGAAAGACAAGTAAGCCGGCCAAGAAGCTCAGCAACAAGAAACCGGTCCTGGTTGTCCGGCGGCTCATTGACGAGAAGGGGCGTCACAGTGGGACTGAAATCGACGTCAAGAGCGTGCCTTTGTGTCAGGTACTCCTCGACATCAACAATGATGTTGAAGGGTTGAGCCTCACATTCAACAACCCCATCGTGAGCCGAACGATTGCTGAAATATGCGGTTTAGCTCATCAGTAGATGCTCAGATCCAGACAAGGGAGCTCTTTCAGAGCCGCCCCGGCCTCATCAAGAGACTTGAACAAGAGCAGGCAAAATCAGAGCCCGACCGTGACAATTCGCTCGTCGCCGACATCTCGACGGCACTTCAATTCATCGAAGAGGACTACGCGGAGACCCTCGGTGACTTCAAGCTGCTCACCCAAAATGAAATCTCCTACGACCTTCTATGGGTCATATTCCCCCCAAATACCCTGGTCTATCGATATCACACCTTCACAGAGCAAACCCAGCTCCTCCTCGCGCGGAGCTTCGAATACTCGCGCCGGGAGAACGGCTCGTACTACGCAGAAATCGCATGCGATGTGGTAAACAACGACGGCAACTCGTTCGGCCTCGCGCGCCAGTCAATCGAAGTGAACGCATTTCGCGGCGCGCGCAGAATCCAAGACCTTTTGCTGTTCCCCGTCGAATACCATCCAGACAAGGACGCAATTTGTGCGCACGCTGCGACGCGCGGTAAAAAGTTTGCTGCTCTCGAAGAACACAGCTACAGAGAGATCAGCGGCGCCGCTATGCGGGAGACGATGAACTCGCGGTGGGAGACGCGAGAGTTCAAATTCAGCGTGAGTTTGGCTACTTTCCTTACCCTGTACGCTTTTGAGGAGGAATAAACCAGACGCATGGCCGGGTGATGATCGACCCAGTCGCGTTCCGTCTCTTTGAGCCCAACTGCAACTTCAATCTCAGCGTCCACCGACGACTCGAGCGAGACGGCTTGACCGAGGAGCAGTACATGATCTGCACGCCGATCGCGCTCGGGTTCTGCTTTGGCGTGAAGATGTGGGGTGCGTGGCGGCTCCGCGCGTGTTCGGCACTCGATAGTTAATATTCACCGCGCCCCCAGGTGGCTTTGCGATGGACCGGCTCGATGACATTGCGTGGTCGGACGAGGCGTTCCACTCGCTCGTGCTCGGCGCCAAGCAAAAGATGCTCATCCACTCGCTCTTCAAGAGCCACACCGCGCACGCGGCCCAGTTCGACGACATCGTCAAGGGCAAGGGCAAGGGCCTCATTGGGCTGTTCTCCGGGAGCCCAGGGTGTGGTAAGACGCTCACAGCTGAGGCCGTCGCGGAGATGACGCGCCGCCCGCTCTACTCTGTCAGCGCGGGCGAGCTAGGCACGGTGCCGAAGGAGCTGGACGAGCGGCTGACGCTGATCCTCGACATCGCCCAGACGTGGGACGCTGTGCTGCTGCTCGACGAGGCCGAGGTGTTCTTGCAGCAGCGCAGCACCACCGACGTCACCCGCAACGCCCTCGTCTCCATCTTCCTGCGCCAGCTAGAGTACTTCCAGGGCATCCTGATTCTAACCACCAATCTTATCGCGAATTGCGACGCCGCGTTCGAGAGTGCGTGTCGTTTAATTTCCGGGGTGTTGTTCGAGCTGACTTTCTCCAGGCCGGATACACTTCTCCATCCACTACCCGGAGCTCGGGTTCGAGTCGCGGAGACAGATCTGGCAGACGTTCTTTGCCAAGGCCGTGAAGAACCCCGCGCACATCACGCCCGAGCATCTAGATAGGCTGGCGAAGCTCCCAATGAATGGTAGACAGGTTTGTTTCTTTTGCCGCCTGGCGTGGCTCCCTATTGTTGACCTGCCGTGAATATAGATCAAGAACATAGTAAGCAGCGCACAATGCATTGCGTTGGACTACGGAGTCGAGTTGGCGGTGGAACATGTCGACGCGGTGCTCGAGGTTGTGGACGACTGGCACACGGCGAAAGGGCATGCGCAGTCGACTTAGACGGACTAGGTCATTTTGTATCGATGTAGAGCCTTCGTGGACCTCAATTATAAAGGACTCATACCCAGGCACGAGCTTGAACACCCATGAGGATTTAAGGAAATGTCCCCGCTGAAGCTGCCGAAAATCTCTTAATCTGTCCGGATGGTCAACCAGCTGGTAGCCACTACAGAGTACGCATACTCTCGTAGACTTCTGAATTCATGTTCCCCACAAACGAACTCGGGAATCTCCGAAATTTATTGCGAGTCTATATAATCAATTTGTACATGTATCTTTTATTTGTACGGGACAGTTTCCGATGAACCCCTCGTTCAAACCCCCACCACCAATATCTCGATTCGCTCGCGCATGTACGCGGACTACATGCTCGATCCCGACACGAACAGCGTTCGCGCGCATTCTCAGCGGTACCACACCAGTCTGAAGCGCATCGAAGCGATACTCCGCCTAAAGGGCATGGGAGCTGCGTATGTAAAGGTGTGTGTTGCCGCCGTTCCCCTTGAGCCATCATGCCCCCAAACGATGATACAAAAAAATCGATTAGTCTTTAAGACATCTATATGGTTACAAATTATATATTTTCTGATCTTTTCATTTTTCTCTCCACTCTGCCACATTCTGACAAATTTCTCACTATAGGCATTGACTTGACCCCCTCCGCCCCGCCCTCACTGAATCTGTATCATTCTTTTATGACGCTTAGGATGTCAGTGTTCTTCCTTCTATCTTTGGGGATGAGACCAAACATTCATTCGCGAAATCGTAAAACATTTCGGCGCCCTTACGTCGCCGGAGTCTGGTTAAATCGATTTCAACCCCATTTGATCCACTCTTGCGGAATCCCCCCCGTCTTGCGCATTTACTCACACGATTCCCAGAACAAGTCCCTGCAGACCGGGTTCCTCCGGGGCATGGAGATGCTAAGCACCGCCTGGGCAAGGACGAGTTCGAGCGCGCCGACGTGCACGCTGCGGAAATGCACGAGCAGGACGAAGATCGTGATGCTGCTCGGCAGCGCTTCCAGCGCCAGTTCTGGGAGATGATCCTCGACGACTGAAAGGCACCGTCCGCGGGCCGTCCTCGTCGCCCTTTTTACTAATGGCTCTGCAGGAGCCCATCCTGCCCGTCGCGAAGCGCCACGCGCAGGCGGCGGAGGACCACAAGTCTAACCCGCGCTTCAAGGACTCGCGCACCATGAAGTCGCCGCGCGCGAAGGTGCAGACGGTCGAGCGCGTGGGGCGCCCGCCGGTCCACTTTGTTGACGTCGGGGGTAAGTTTATCGTCGTCCAGGAGCGCCTGTGGTGGCTCACGCTGGCGGAGCGGCGGACAGCGCTCACCGCGCGCAAGTCAGAGTAGAAGGTGCTTGGTGGGTATATAATGGGGCGGCCGTCTGCGAGCGGGCGCAACGGGCGGTGGTCCACCACGCAATATGGGCAGACGCCCAAAGTTCAATAACGCAGCCTTCGAGGCCAATTAGTGCTGGAATCCTATCTGTGCTACCAGTGATACCAAATTAATATTGGAGACTCACTTCTATGTGTTCCAACGTCGTATTTAACCACTCTCAAATTATCCTCCCGTCCTCATCTCGCCCTAGTTCGTAAGGGCGCCCTTTTTTGGAATAATACGGCGCGATTGTTCCCATCTCATTGAAGCTACTGCTTCAGAATCTCCCATGTTCCCGGACAATCCCTTGCGGCCTTCAATTGTCCCCGCGTCGACTCGACACCTCGATAGGGGCTCCTGCCAAAAAAGGAAACTCATTTTCCTAGAACGGCAGGTTTTCCCACGCTTTTAGCGAGTCAAGAAAACAAAACAAACCAACGCCCGAGTCATATTCGAAGCGCCCGCGATCATTAGCCCAGCATACTGGAAGCAAAAGTACTCACGCTGAGGTTTGAACTCAGGACCCCCGCATGGATGTGTTTCCCCTGGAACTTTACGGCGCAAGTCCGGGAGTAGGTAACCTCATAGGTGCGGTGCTCTAACCAACTGAGCTACGCGAGCGTGGTTTTCGAATTTTATGTGGGGTGTGGAGGGGATCTTGCCTGTGGAACGAGTCTGGGGATGTGCTAGCCAAATGTGGAGTAAACACTTGAAAATCATAGAATTGGCCTCACCCCTCAGAATTTCATGAACGGCACATACTACCCAGTGAGCCTCCTCCATCCCCCTCCCTCTCGCCACCCTACGTGCTGAGGAATAGGAAGAGCGTCACAGGCCGCCCAATTTGCAAACTGCCACCGAAGACTGAATCCAAGTAATCTTACGGACGTATGTGGTTCTGCAAGGAAGCCGGGAGGAAGTATACCGTGAGCACCAGCCAGTGGTTCCCGTTCACTCAACGGCTGGCTACTCATGCAATTTGGGTGCCACAGGCTCGTTGGTGCGCTGAAAGAGGGGAGCGCAGAAACTGGGGTGAACTCGAAGATCGCTGTTAGGGCACCGACATCTAAACACTCCAACAACGTGGTCGCCATTCTGAGTTTACAGAATGCTTACGTGACCAACAAACGCTTCGGAGCCTGGCGGTGAGAGACATTGATTACTGTAGCAGCAGTATTAGGCAGGCAAGAGCCGAATATCGGTATGCCTCCGGTCATTCCACCTTAATTCCATATTAAGATCCGCACAAAAAAGCAGCCACAGAAGCCACAGAAGCAGCCCCAGAGGAAGGGCATTCAGGCTTGACAGTGAGTATGGTGTAAACTGTTTATAATTATATCACCGGAAAGGTCCGGTCACTTCAACCTGAGTTGAAAGTTTTCGACCAGCAAAAGTTTGCACCTTTCCTGGGGACGATTCACAGAAATCAATCCTTGGGGTCAAACAGACCGTTCGCCTACGCTTCTGGACGGTCCGTTTTTCTGAAAGAACGTGAAGCAGCCTATTTACGGAGAACCCTCGATGGCCGCACCTTCACGCGTCGAATCGCCACTGGGCCAGTTTTTCTGGACGGAGCGTGTCATGCATGTGGCACAATCTTCGGATGCCCTGCACACTGGTCATTTGATCTGGTCCAATGCGCTTCAAATTACGATTCTCTCGTTAGCAGAAATGTATATAAAGGTGCAGCGGCTCACAGGAGCAGCGTGGACCACTCGTCACCTCTTTTCCAACCCAACATCGTCCTCTTCTGCACTCCATCATGTCCAGGTCCTCCCCCCAAATGATTAACGCCTTCCAGCGCGCCGGGTGGCTTCCGCTCAGTGAAGCGGACCTCATAAAATGGGTCAAGGGCGTTGTCATCGAGGTTTCAAAAAGAGACGCACCCCTCCTCCCGGTCGTTCAGAACTTCCAGACGTTGATCGAGACGAATAGCGAACTGTACATGGGATTCAACCAGATGTTCGAACAGCAGCCCCCCTCTTCGTTGTGACGGTGGTAAGCTACTCGCCTTCAAATTTGGGTCTAGCTTTTCGCTCATCAGTCCACGTTCGATAAGATCCCGAACTATCAAACACTCATCAGGATTTTCAACAAGATCATCCAGGAAGCGCCATTCTATGGACCTATTGGACCCCCGTTTTACATGGTCCTCAGCGCGGCGATGAACACCCAGGGAGGATTCACGACCTTCCTCAGCAACCAGCTGAACGCCAGTTGAAGGCCATGTTCGACGTCTGGGCACAGTTCCTTGTGTCGCCCGAATCCGTTCCGTCCTCACGAACAACCCGGGCGGCTGGTTCAGTTCGCCCGCGCTCAAGGCGATGACCGATAATTTCGACGGCCTCCCGTTCGAGCAGATCTTCGTGAGCGACCCCTCGGCCCAGTACTGGGGGTACAAGAGTTGGGACGATTTCTTCGTGCGCACCCTCCAACCCGGCATCCGCACCCTCCAAGCGGCCGAGAACCCGAACGTCATCAACGCCGCTTGCGAGTCGCAGCTGTACAACATCTCGAAAAAAGTCCAGGAGCGGGACACGTTCTGGATCAAGGGCGAGCCATACTCGCTCCTCGACATGCTCAACCAGGACGAGGCCGCGCCGCAGTTCATGGGCGGCACCGTCTTCCAGGGCTTCCTCTCCGTGACGGGCTACCACCGCTGGCATGCGCCGGTGACGGGCGTCGTGCGCAAGGTCGTGAAGGTCCCCGGGACGTACTTCTGCCAGTCGCCCGCGACGCTAGGCGAGACGGACAACCCGTACCTGCGCTCGCTCGCGTTCATCACGTCGCTCGCGACGCGCATGCTCATCTTCATCAAGTCGGAAAACGAGCGCATCGGGCTGATGTGCTTCATCGCTGTGGGGATGACGGAGGTGTCGACGTGTGAGGCGACGGTGAAGGAGGGGGATCGGGTCGAGCGCGGAGACGAGCTCGGGATGTTCCACTTTGGCGGGTCGACGCATGTGCTGATCTTCCGCCCGGAAGCCAATGTCAAGTTCTTCGACGGTGTGGATAACCCGGGAAGCATGGTCGAGGTCAGGGCAGCCATTGGAGGCGTGGCTTGAAGAAACTTGGTCGCTTTGAAAGGAAAGAACTGAAGTTTGTATCATCTGTAATAGTACTTGTACATTGTCTGGAACCCGTTGAATAGGATTTGTGAATCGATCATGTCGTCTAGCCTGGCGTGGTCCGAGTTTTTACAGAATCTCTGCTGGTGATAGGAGGCGGAAAGGGTTTGGAGGTGGCAGTGTGGGCTTGAAGTTCCAGTCGAAGGTGCCCTGGCCTATTTCTCGGTAAACTTTTGACAAAAGCCTCGTGTCGTCTTGACCGCCCTACCACCTCCGCCAATTCGCGCATTCCCACGACCGCGCCCATGTAACACGCCCGCCGCCTGCGCCTCCCTCCCGCTACCTCCCCGCCCTGCGCAGAACCCTCTCCCCTTCTCATCAGCACCGTCGCCGGCCTCCTTCCTCGCCGTCTCCTGCTTCGACCCATTGCCAGCATGGCCAGCGCGGCGGGTCCGTGCGCGTCTGCGGCAACTCGCAGGACAGCGCGACGCTCGTGTCTGTGTCTGTTCTGCCCCCCACGTGTGCCCGCAGAGGCGGTACCATGGTGCGCAACCGATTCCTTTCTCCCTTTCATGCGCTTCCCTGCAGACAGATATCGACCCCGCATCCCGCATCCTGCATTCCGCACACCCGGAGACTCCCGCGCATTCGCGGTCGTTGCGTGTGTGCGGCGAGCGGATGCCGCTTGTGGCTGCTGCGATCGCCGCGTCAGCGCCTCGCGGACGGCCTGGAGGGCCCGCGCCGGCATACACGACGCGCGACAGCGCCTCCGCCCCGCACTCGCTTCAACCCGTACGACGTGCGTCTCGCTATACTCACTACTCCTGTTTCCCTATGACCTGCTTGGATCAGTACAAGTCCGCTGTAATACGCACCGCAAGTCTTCGTGCGCAACGCCAGCCGGCAGCGCCGGCGCTCGAGCCCAAACTCCGCCCGGTCCAGCCCCGTATGCGCAGAACCCCGAGCGCGGTCAGCTCAACTCCGCGACGCGCTGCCGTACGTCGTACACTCTGCCTGCGCGCCTCGCCGCTGCCGCCGGGCGTTCGTCCGATTCCGCGCTCGCCCGCACGACCAAGTCGCTCGAGGTCGTCGCACGCCGCCCCGAATTGCGCGCCAGCAAGCCCCCGCATCCGCGCCGCACACCAACCAACCCAAATCGGAGACGCGCGTACATGTACGGCGCACGAGCCGCTTTCCCCGCGGACGCACAAGTTGCGCGCAGCGCGCCCCCGCACGGAGTCTGATTCAGGTTGACGCGAGTTGTGCGCAGTGCGTAGGCGGTTTCGGCCGTTTTGGAGGAGCGGATACTGGTGCGAGGTCCGTAGCACGGCTCGCGCGCGCGCTCGCCTGTCTGACCGATCCAATTAGAGCCCCGATAACGACGCAAAAGCAGGAGGGGCGTACCGTACTGGGTGCTTGAGCCCGAATGCGGCACGGCGCGGCAGTGCCCGCTCAGTCCTACGCCGGTCGAATACCGCGGCCGACCAAGCGAAGGCGTTACGCCAACGCGTCCGCGTTCGCGCGCACGCCCTCGACTCTTCGGCTGCGTGATTCCGCAAGGATCAGCAGCTGCAGCCGACCCCCGCCCATCCTTCTCCTCTCATCGAGACTGCACCGTCGCGTATTCTGCGCGCTGCTTGTCGCACCCTTCGTCCTCTCCCCGCGGGAAACCTTGACCTAGAGCGAACCATATAAGCTGGAGTAATGCCGCCTCGCTTGCGGCGTGCGCGCTTTCCCAGCTTCGTGCGCCGCGCTCAAAAGGAAGCTTCTGGCCCATCGGGCCCATCGGCCCTCTCTTCCTGCGGGTTTCCTCGCCCATGGTCGTACGGGAATAGCGGCGGACGGTGAGCGCCGAGGCGTTCCAAAACCACTTCCAAGCCCAAACTGGCCTCTGGGAATAACACGCACAAACTCGGCTTCTCTTTTCACCTCCATTCTATTTTCTTCCACTTTCGACTACATGCAACACGAGAATGAAATCGGAATGGGGAGAGACGAAAAGACATCTGAACGTATCAAGATCTACGGCGGTGTCTGCAGACCCTGGTCGGTGTAGCCACGCGTTCCACGCCCGACAAATAGAATGTTCTCCGGTCGTACGGTGCCAGCGGCGCGCCCTGCTCCAGCCGTGTGGGGAGGTCAGGCTTCGCAGCAGGTAAATAACAAAAAAAATGCTGCGGTCCTAGTATCACGCTCACATTCGAGATGAAGAGCCGCCCAAACGCGACCAGATTGCATCCTCGGCCGCGGCGAGTGCACTGGCGCGGTCGAATCCGCCCGCGCGGATGAGTGGGCGCGGCGCCCAGAGCGCGCGCAGAGCATCGTTCGACTCGTGAGCGCCCACAGTGCCCTCTGCGCGCGGCTCATCCCCGCTTATTCGCGGCTCGATGAGGTGCAGGTACGCGAGCGTCGGATGGCGCGCAGCGAGCTCAGATACGAGATAGCTGAATGTCGGGAGGGGGTCCTGCATGCCCATGTCTGCAAGGGATCGGCTTCGTTCCAAGATAGGCATTGGGAAAGCAGAGTCATACCGTGAACGGTGCTCCACGGGCT